GGAGGCAGTATGACCTCTGAAACGTTGGTAAACATCGACCAGACTACACAGCGCAACAACCCAGAAGACGGAAATCTTCATACTCACCGCTGTGAGAACCTCAAGTCTTACAAAAGTTTAAATGTCTTTGAAAAATAGTTTGCCGATAAATATCCCTGCCAGCGTCCACAAATTTCGTGTCCACGGAACTCTGTTATTGACTGTTCTGTGGCAGATGACTGAAGCCACGCGGAACAAGGATATGAAGAGATTTCGAGATTTACACACACGATGGACCTCGTCACAGCATCATTACTTGATTTATTGAACAAGCTATTTATATTTTCCCGCCGTCGTGTTTCAAGTTTGCGGGGAACGTACCAGAAACGTAAAATTTCCTTCTGGAACGAAGCAGAATGGATGTTGAGATGTTAACATGAAGAAGATGAAGATTTACAATGTGACGAGCGAGGAGGAAGATGGGAACAAATACATTACAGCCTTTCTTCATTAAAGGAAGAACTTAAGAACTGGAAGGCTCGGTTGTAGGTATTCTATTTGTAGTCAGCGTAACCAGTGCATGGGCTAGGACAGATGGATAATATCCAACACCGAATAAAAACAAATGGTACTTTGCCTCGAATAAATTACACGAAGGTTTCTGATGAAAAGGAGGTGTTACTTCATCTGTCAGATTAATGGATTGACATTGACGTAGACGTTGTCTCGTATTCGAGGGTTAGTGTTTCCGTCAGAGCTAACTAAAGAGACAAATGCAGATTTGTAGCCAAGAATGTGTCTGATTCACATATCAACGTGACGTAATGTGGAATTAAGTTTATAACATTAGCCACAGAAGCAGGTTTAAATTTCTGCTAAAATATCTTGTGACCTTTTTGGACTGGCTTACCTGTGTCGGATGTTCAGCTCGTGTGTATTTCTGTTCCAGATGGTTCTTTGATACCGGAACTGTTACTCCGGTTATAATAGAAGAGAACATAAAACATATTTCGTGTTTTTTTTTCTTCAATAATGTTGATTGTTGATTAAATGAAGGAATAAATCGTATTTCACGACAGTCGTATTCATAGTAACTTAGAGATGACGTTTGCTTCGGTAATGCAAGGAATAGGTATCGTAAGACTTCGACCCCTGTTTTACTTTATTGTTGTTAAAGAACTGAATGCGAGACACGAGAAAATACGCTGAAACATTAAATGGGAAAACTTAAAAGGCAAGACACCATTTGGGAGACAGGCGCAGAAGGGAGAATAATATTAAAGTGGGCCTTTGAGAAATAGTTTTCAAAACCGATACTGGTCCTTGTTCCAAAAATCAGTTACTTTCATGTGTATACTCAGTCTTCGTAAGTTACTATTACTGTGAAAATAAAGTAACCTGTGAGTATATCAAATCTAAAAGTTCTTGACGATGGTGAAGAGTCATTTGAATAAAAATGTTCTTGGATATTATCCATCGTCTAGTAAATATAAAACGTAAAACGACGTTTCGGAGATGGGGACCTGAAGACGGAGATATAGAGCCATCTCCGAAACGTCGTTTTACGTTTTATATTTACTAGACGATGGATAATATCCAAGAAAATTTTTATTCAAATAACCTGTGAGTATCTTAAATTGTGACGTCAGTGCAAATTTAGTTATTAGATGGTGGTCAGATATGATTTGGTTTTATTTAGATCTCGCATTTTAATACTCAGATCAGTAGCTAAGTTCTGCCTCCTGGCAGTTGTTGATTGGGGTGCCTTGCCAAAATCGGTTACAACTGCTTCTCTGTGGGTCGACATCCAGGACACAGCCGAATATAATTTCTTAGCTAAACAGTTTTCTGTGTTTATTTCAGTAGTCTGCATGTCAAATGATACTTGTGTTACTTAAGTGTACAGGGCGTTCGAAAAATCACTGCAGTTTTGCATGAGCTGCTGGTGTTGCCAGGTCATACTTTTCTACATTAATTGCAACCACGCATTGACTTTCTAACGCCCTGTGTAATTTCCTTAATAAACTGGGCTACTTGTGTCCCAGTAAATCTAAAGGGCCATTTTAGTTTTTTTAAAAATTCTAGAGAGAGGAAAGCTGTGTGTTGTAGAACCTGACGTTTCATAACGATGGAAAGAAACACCCGCTAATGGAGGTGACTAAACATTCCTTTTTCGTCGTCAGCAAATGCAATAACAATTATTTGAAGCAAGGTTGAAAAATGAGAGAGCCCCAATGATTACGATAACAATGTCTAATAGGATCATGTATAATCGCGCACCACTAGTGTTTCTCGGACCATTCGTATTAGTCCAATACGTTTTGCCTGGGTTACCATGGAGACCATGAATTCGTCCCGGTTCGGTTGGTTCTCGAGGTATGGTTGCGTTTGTGTGCGGCACAGCTGCGCTCGGCACGGTACGGTTTGGAACCAGCCTAGCAGGCTGGCCGGCAGAGAGAAAGGAAGGAAGGCAGCGAAGGGGGGGCAACAGGCTCGTTCCAAGTCGCTCATTCCCCCATTCGCTTTGATCGTACAGACCAGATAGATTGTGGGTAGCTTCTCACGTGGTTGTGAGTTAAGTTGAAGCTGTGGTTGGATCTTTTTTGACGATTATTATACCATGTGTGACATTATTCGAGTCTGCTGAATTAACATAACGACGTATGTTATTTATGAGCTGTGTTGGGTGCGTGGTTCCTTTATTTCAGATGATACATGTTTTAAGACTGTGAATAGAAAGTGTTTTGGTGCAGTTTATCAGATATTTCTGTATTTTGATCAGCCGATCGTTTAGACATTGCCGTCTTCATCTGCTGCAGATCTGAGTCTCCTGCAGTGAACGTTCGGAGGTCCTGCTGCATCCCAGTTTGTTCATCTCAGCCCTCGTCCACACGGCGGATTCTAGAGCAGCACGCAGTGTATGTGACGTCGTAAATCGTCGGTAAGTGTACCACATTCATAATACAGCAAGCAAGTTATTGTATTAATCGCATGAGTAAGCATACTGCAGTATCGAAGGATTACTGATCGTGTTTTGGCGTGAATCCGAAAATCGCAGCAACCAGTTGTGATTTTCGTAACGTATTTTATGTTACATCTTGAATTTAATTTGGTATTGTGAGGATAAAATTCGAAGTTTCATTTTATTTTCTGTGATTACATCACGTGTTTCCTTTGTTGGGTTTAGAACGTAAAAGCAGTGATGGATACCCAGCCGGTAGTGCGCCATTTATGTTTTGTAGTAACGTTCTGTACTACTGGTCATTGTATTAGTTTTATAGTTTGGGTCGCTGTGCTATTTGTATATTCCTCATTGCTGTGCCCAGCACATCGCTGGAAATTGTTGGGGTTAGGATGGCATTCCGGTGCCGGCTTTATGACTCATCGAAAGCTGTCGTCCAACCGGTGTTCTGGTTGCATTGTGTTGTAACGATGGCGTGGTTTGAGACATTTTACCTGGTGTTCTGGTTGCATTGTGTTGTAGCGATGGCGTGGTTTGAGACATTTTACCTCTCTTTAACAGTTCTAGGTATTGCTTCCAAGAAATCAGGTTATATTTCGTTCCGTAGAGAAGACTAGGTTTGCCAACATTGCCGTCTTTGTTTGCACACAAAGGAATTATTAAATAATTTATTCGTGGAAAGTTTCTAAAATCAGCGATGGTAGGTGTCACTACTATGAATCTTGCATCATCTTTTTTAATTTTTGTTGGAGGGGAGGGGTTTGAGAGGGGTTGTCGGTGCATAATGCTTTAAATATTACCGTAAATTATTCTGTTACGTCCTAAAGCGTGTTTGTGTTATCGCACGACCTATTCCGGGATGAAATAGAAGGGTAGAGAAAAATGACTTCATTAATTTCACATGATTTAACAGGCGTTGATTCTCCAATCTCGAGATTCCACCTCATTGCCCTAACAGAATGGAAGTAGCTGTTGAAGCTAGGGATGATGGAAAGCTGGAAGCAGCACCTTTCACATCCTTGCAGGTCCCCTTCTGCAAGTAGTAACATCTGATGGGCGAGGGTTAATTCAGAAGGGAAGGCAAACGTCTTTTCATGATTAGTATCAATTTCGACCCACGGGCCTACTAGAAATGGCAGTATCTTTTGGAGTCGGACACACTTTTTAAACACGTGACATCGTTAATGTTGTTTGCAGTTCTTGCGTGTTTTGTGTAAGATGTTCGATAAATCTCGATTGTTGGGTTTTTGGACCTCGCCCATAGTAAGAACCCTTCACAATCGATATTTGATAATTCGATTATTTAAGGTGTTGTCAGATGTGCGTAGTTGAAATTGTTGTGAGTGACAGGTTTTTGTTGACATTGTTTCTTTTTCTGGGCAAGGAAAATATTAATTAAATCTGTGAAGCTGTCATATGGAACGGGACTAGATCATAAGGACAGTTTTTGAAAGAGGAATTTTATCTGTCGATTTGTTAATAGACGCAGAATTGTTTCGAGTTTATTGGACTCAAATTATAATTGAACTTTTGCCGAGATGTTTTCACTAAACACGGTATCGTAATTAAATATCTGATTGAAACTTAAGGCGTCGGGATGTGAAGAATTACCAGAGGTATGACATTGTTTTTGTGTGATTTTGCATATTTAGAGATAATGGTATATTCGATTAAGCGTGGTTTTACCGGTTTTAGGTTGTGTTGACATTAAAATCGATGTTGTAATACGGTAGTTTGCAGTCTAGCAAGAGTTATTCTTCTGCATTGGTAACTGGGCAGAAGTGATGTTGAGAGGTCAGAAGGAAGGTTGTAGATTCGTTGTTCTTTGAACTACCCTTGGTCTTAAACACCAGTACAAATCTCAAAACCTTAAAAATTGACTATAATTGATCTTCCATCATCATCGTATGGTCCACAGATCTGGAACCGCTCCGTCTGCACGATCCAATAGAATAGGTGCATCCATTTTTTTTAAACCAGAAGATGAAGAGATTGATGCTTCGAAATATAGTGATTTGTTAATGGTTTAAGACTTTTTAAAGATTTTTTTACAAGAAACAGACGATGGATAAATTTAAAAAAAAAATTGTAGTTACGTGTTACAAACGTAGTATGGATGTCGATAGCACAAGTACAATGTGCTCTCTTATAGACCTCTATCTAATCTCCTCTTCTGTTAACACCATCAGTGAATGCTACCCTTTCATAATTAGCCACAAGCATTTATTGTTGAGGGAGTAGGCCCTTTGACTCTCATGCCAAGAAGTGTCTCTTGATTTGTTATAGACGTCTCGTGTTGTGGAAGTACTTGTTAAGTAGATTTACACGAACTCAGGTTTAATAAAAATAAACTTTTATTAAGGGTTCATCCAATTATCTTTGTTTACCTCGTATTATTGTCATTTTATTTTCTGTTTCATTATTGTATTCGCTTGAATTTCCAAAGCCGTTTCGTACTGTGTCGATAAAGACTCGTAGTCAGACGTAAATTTTTCTTGGTGTTGTATTCTTATAGTCGTCTTGAGGAAGGAAGATTGAACATAGATGCTTTCATGTTGTTTACATAAGTATTGTATTTTTTTATGTATTTATATTTTGTTTGATTTGAATTAATAGGATATTGGTTTCATGTCTAGTTATGAGTGAGGTTTACTCGTGTCTGTGTTTCTTACCGTTTGTTTATGTAGACCCTAGGTCTAGGTTCCACGAATTACATCAACATCATCATCAGCATGTCAAGGAATGAGTCCTTGGCTCCTTTCAGACGGTTGCACAAAGCAACTTGTCATGTTACACAATTTGTACTCATTCCTGATTTGTCTGCAAGTACATGTCTTGTATTTTCTGTCTTGAAACTCATATGGCACTTTAAATCCATGTAATTTAAATGTATTATAGTCAGCTCAGTAGTTTTTGGCCGGTGGAGAAGCTAGCGGAGCTGGCGGACGGGCCTACTCTGTGTACCTGAGGTGGCACGGACAGCGTATTTCTTTTGTTTGGGCTTCTCGGTGCAAGTGACTCGCTCCTAGCCTTCCCCTTGAAAATGTCCACCGGCCAAAAACTACTGCGCCGACTATACGCATTTTAATTGTTACGCAAATTAAGATTTTTTTTTCCTACTGTGCTCAGTGAACATCCTATACTACGGTACATATTTGCACGTCACACGTTTTTATGACCGTTCTGTTGGTACTGTGGTTGAAACGGATACAATGGCATATATTCATGTGTAATTTTAAACATTCTTCCAGTTACAGTTGTAATGTTGATATCCCTGTTGCTGTACTTCGCCGCTACAGTTGTCATAATTTACAAATGAAATCAAATTGTTCTTATTTTTACTTTCAGAGTCTTGTTACCCATTTTATACATACAAGCTGATATTTTGTGACGTGTTACAGGTATCAAGGCAGGATTATTTTTCGTTTCTTCTGGTGTTGTATTACGCACCTTGGAAATCTTAAAAGCGCTCTGTGAAAAATTTGGTAAAACTGGCTTTCCGTACCAAAATAATATATTGTGTACTATAACAGTTTTGTAATAAATAATTAATTTAATGCATTATGACTCAGGTTATTGGAATCGTATTGTATTTTATGGTACTTAAAGATGGAACTCTCATTTGTACCACAAGCATCCATAACATCACGACCCAAGGACATTTGATATTACATTCTTCCATTTTCTTTCCGTAGTTAGGATAAACATGTGAAGGCAGATCTGTAGTGTTTGAAAAACAGATCTTTAGCCGATTGTAAGACATTTTTCCTGAAGTGTCATGTCGTTGTGTAAGTTATGGTTCGAAAGCGTTTTGTCACACCCATACACTTTGAAATGCAGACGTGATATTCAACCTCTTGTGCGTCAGTGGGTAGTTCAGTTACTGCTGACTGTGTGAAAGGCGACATAGACCATTTTATGGCAGTGTGGCCCCATCAGGGGACTTAAGGGTCAGAGCGGAACCTAAACCGGAACGAATCTTTGCGTCAAAAACGTCTGGTTTGTTTTTTGCAGTGATGTGCGTCACATAAAGTATTCCAAACTTTGTTGTACGAAATCGAAGCTATTTTTTTGGCATACCCAAGGCAGATAATTTGGAGATTTTCTATTCTACGTTTGGAAAGATAATAAAACGGTACGGAATTGTTTTTAAACAGTGAGGCCTGTATGTTATTACAAAATGAACCCCGAAAACAGTTACTTTGCGAGGTTAGACTAACTCCATGGCGTAGTCCTTCGGAAGCAGTTTGTCACTCTGAATCAGTCGAATAAAATTCATTACCTGAATACTTTTTCTTTAAGATGTGTTTAATAGTATCCACATCTACGTCTAGGTCTTCTGAGTGGTTACTTACTAAACATGTTTAACAAAAATGTAATACTAATATCAAAATAGGTGGTAAAAAGTTTGGGAAGTAGCAATTTATTTAATTTTTTTAAATTAAGCATTGGGTACTGTAGAAACCAACTTGATGCTCATTGGATTTAGTCACATTGCGTATAAATGCCTGTATGTTTGTTTGACTTTGTTTGATTCAGGTATTAATAGTAGACGTGCATAAAAAATGAAGGCTGTAATGCGGTTTATAATTTTTGTGTATGCTTGCAACAGAAACTCGCAAAATGTTCTGTGGGGAAAAAAAAATATTCGTGTGATGTTAATTTGTCAAGGAAGTAAGGTTTGAGGTCCGCTGGATCTGCCATCCCCCCCGTTCATGCGTTTTCCGGTGTTAAAATGTTGGGACATTTATAGTACGTGTAATGAATTTATTTCGGCTGTGAAATTCACTGTGCATTGTGCTTTGTATCTGTCACTACAGAAACTTACATTGTTTGAAATGCAAACGTACCGTTAAGTGCACAGAAAGAGGGACTCGCTGTCTGCGTTTAAAGCCATCCCACGTTTTCCAAATAATGACCCCGGCTTTCGTCCATTCGAGCACGTTTGTAGTGAACCAGAGCTTACAGCATAGAAATGT